GATGACATTTCTCTAATTTGGTTTAGAAAGTAATTAAGTACAGGTTTATAATCAGAACAAAGAACACTACTGCCTTGTAAACAGTGGTAAAATACTTGTTTCAGAACAACTAAATAAGAAAATGAAAAAGTGTTGTAATAATGGATTAATTTACTATGCAGTATCACTGAACAGATGTGAACTCTAAAAGTGCCATGTTTTCAGAGAAAAAAATTATGTATTAAGATAAGAAACATGAAGTCTAAATGTCAACAACAAAACCTGAAAACAAAAATAAATGTCTGTATTTCGTATCATTTATTTTCTAATTAAGGAAAACCATGCATGAGATTAAAGATAAATCCATATGGATCACTGTAAGAGCCTTCTTCAATACCGAGCAACAAAGGAAAACAACATAATGGCTAGGACTGGACAGAAAAAAGTCCTTTATCTGCATATAATTATGGATCTAACACAACAGATTCATTGGCAATGTCAGCAAGAACTGACAATGTCTAAAAGTATGTGCTATTTTTCTTCAACAGGTTTTTTCCAACTTCTCCAAATAGGTACAACAATGCAAGTTGCCCTTATAAATAGCCATGCTGTTTTTCAAATATTTGGGGATTTCCTATTATTTATGTCTAGATTTACCCGAACTTTTAATCCTTAATATCCAAAGTTCTCAGTCATTAAAATACCTTGTTTTTGTGTGCACAAAAAAGTCTTCCATTTTTTCTAACCTGCTTTTTCAAATATACAGGGAGTCCATAATGCTTCATTCTATACCAGTAATGTTCAGAACGAAGCATATTTCCAGACATTTGGTTTTATATACATTAGTAATGTTTTAGTGCAGCCCCACACTACAAAGCTCAAGAGTATCACATTTGTAAAACATCAGATGCAAATATTCATGTTACAGAACTTTTGAACAGTTTTATCCTTGACAGCAAGCAGGCTGGGAATAATTAAATCTCACACAGAGACTTACTAACAGTAAGTTACCCTTATTGAGGTCAAATACTGGTAAAAGTACAGCAGGTCACAATGAGCTTAACTGCAAGTTGGCCACGCAAACGCATTCTTCACAATATCACACTCAGCAATCAGCAAGTCTGAGACCAAAATAAACAATGCAGAATTCATCCTTTATGTCCCAACAAAGAAAAAGTTAAAAACAGAGTACACGCTATTATTTGTTTCACAGCAGCCTCAAAGAATGTCCCAGAGGAGATCATTTCATTTGTGGACTAACATATGGAGGGCCAGACATCGCACACATTTCTTAAAGAGAATATCGTTATTCGTGCAGCTGAGAGGAAAAAAAATGACAATGAAGCCATTAAATCCCATCTTAACATTTCCAAAATTGACTTCTGAAGCCATAATCACATTCATATCCACAGCTTATTGAAATTACTTATGAATAGAAAGTCCTGAGTATGTGTAAAATACACTGATTTTGTATGTATACCTGTATATATGTAATAAAAACGTGAAACTTATTAATAACTTGTTGATTAAATATTGCATTTGTGATATACATACGTATACAAAGAAGGAATTACTCATAAGAAGATGTAGTACCCAGTATGCTGAAGAAATCAAAGCATTCAGAAGTTGTCAGAAGGTCTGCTTTCGTGCAAATTCATAGATTTCCACAACTTAAAAGTCCTCTAGTAAATAACATTGCAACACTCCTGCAACATTAAAACTGCATAAATCTCTCATGAATTTTTATTTCAATGAGTTTGCACCGCTACAATTAATAACTAATCATGATTAAGTCTAGTCATCTAGGCTACCAATGACAGCATTATTAAATAAGAACATCTGGAGGTTTTTGTCTACCTAAACAGAGAAACTTCTCTGAAAATCAGATTTATTGTTCCTAGCTAGTGTGTAGCTCTTCTTCAAATATAAAAGAATCATAGACAGTTAGCTGAGATCACGTGCTAAAATTTTAAGCAGTTATCAGGTGAGGAAAATCCCACCATTGCTCACTACAACCTTCCTTTAGTGTTAATGTATAGAAAACAAACAAACAAACCACGCACCTTGTTCTCTGAAAAGGCATATTCAGGTCAAGTGTTTTGTCTCTTCATCTGTCAGGCTCCTACAGCAACATTTTCAAGCTTACCAGGCAGACATATCTGCAATCTTTTGAACTAACTTTATATCACGTCGCTTTACTATGGTAACGATCAGGTAGTACACCTGCAGTCCACATGGATTTCAGCTAACTTAAAGAGTACCTGGTAAATTTTGAAGTCTAAAGCATAGGTATTATGCTTTAACATCCTAAACATATCTTGTAAAAGATATGACATACTGCTGACATACAGAAAGCACACATTCTGGCTACACAAATGCAAGTCTTTAACTGATGTGAACTTCAGCGTTACATTCCCTAACTTAATACTATTTTTGTGTATCTATGGCCAAACATTTACATAAATGGCCTCCTACTACTATTTACTCTTTTAAAAATGCATTTGTTTTTATCAAAGCAGTCTTAACCAGATTTTGACTTGCTCATAAAGGTTTTTATATGACACATGCGGAGTGAAGGAACAGAACATGAGTAAATCTATGTGTATTCACTTTTATTTACGATGCATGATATTTTACTTCTGATTTAAATCTTTTCACAACTACACTTTCTCTACAGGGTCCATTTTCAATATGAGATATTAGCCACTCCGACTTTACTATTTAACCTTTAACTTGCCATGAAGCCCCACTACATCTAAGGAAAACTTAAAGGGGAATGTGGGAATGAAACAAAAAAAAGCACGGGTGAGTTGCTCTGTTCCTTAACAAAAACAGGTTTATACTACAATTCCACTAAAGGATAAAACTTCATTTCATGAGTGGCAGAATGGAGAGAAAAGCTGGGAGAGATAGCTATAGTGATTTCACTGCAAAAGGGTCATGTGAGTCAGGTGTAGATGTGTGATAGCTGTTTCTGTAAACAATATAGGAATTCTGCAAATGTCTTATCCTCATTTTGGTGTATAAGCAACTATTACCGTTTTTCATAAAGCAACAAGCAATTCAATAAGCAATTTCCTTCCACTATCGTGGTGATTGCATATTTCACTTCCACGGAAACTGTAGGCGAGTGTTGTCAGATACATGTACTCTTACTGACAAAACAGAAATCTGGCCTTTCCACTGAATGCTACATCTTTTCATGCTGAAAAATATCAGATATACTCTATCATAATAGCAGACAACCCTGAGGAAAGAACAGAGTTCTAACAAAAAGCAAATTCTTCCAACTAACTACACCATCCTTTTATCATTTTATTTTTATTTTTTCATCCTTTTATAAGGTCAGACTTTCAGCTTTTGATGCTTATGTTATTTCATCTTTGTACATCTTTCTTCATAAGTGCTAGGCATAGGGCAAATTATGTCAGTGGAATAAAGCATAGATGGACTTGACATTAACATTGTTTGCTGTTGTTTACCCTAAAATACAGCATGGTTATGTGAAAATAGAAACATTATAATGAGAAGAGACTGTGGAACTACATGAATTCATTCTCATAATAGCGACTGTAATATTAATGGGACTGTGCAAACACAACCTATCTTGTTGCAACTTAAGAAATTTAATAGTATGGCCACTCCCAGTTGCAATTCCCTTTTTCTTTCTACTGTATTAAGTAAATTCATACATTTTGTAAGCTAAAAAAAAAAAAAAAAAAACACATCTCATACTGATCACTTCTTATCTCCCTGTCACTATATAATTTGTGAATTAACAGATATGTAATAAAACCACAGTAAAACCTAAAAACTCTGTAAAACCAGTTCCTGATTTTTGTTTTCCACAGATATGAAGGACAAGAAAAATCAACAGGAGTAGTCAGTGTAGATTCAACAATAAGAAGTATGTTTGACCAATTTGTTAAATGCCTACAATTGAACAACTGGCTTGGCATATGAGAAAAGTATAGTGGATTTCATCCAACTTGACTTCATGTATCCCATAAGATCCTCAGAGAGAAGCTGATCAAGCATTGCTGGATGAATGTGGTGAATTGAGCACTACTTAAATAGCTGGACCCATAGAATGGTGATCAGCAACAGAATCTAGTTGGACAGTGTTGTACCTCAGAAGTCAACATCGTATATAAATCTGTTCACCACTGTCAAACATGACCAAATAAACTATTATTTATGTATCCATGAAACAGGGATACCTTATAGGGTTTAAATAATGCCAGCTTAAAGTATGAGGCTCTGGATGAAGAAGATTAAGCTAAATTTGAAGATGCTTTCCGCTGCAGCCCAGGAACAGAATATGATTTACATCAGTCAGTACTCTGACTTTCTGTAGCAGCAAGAAATGACGACATGACATTTTTAGTAACACTGCAAAAGTGGCAAACGTATTCAAATAAAAGGGAGGCTTTAGGTCTTGAGGCGGAATCATAAATAAAACAAGGACAAGATGCTGTTTGATCACATTCAGTGTACTTCAAAACCATTATTTCTCAAAGCAAATAAGATGTCTGTGTCAGTTTCCTGCAGTTTTACTGCAGTGGGTTCTTTTTTGTTATTTGATGTTTAAAAAAATTGTTGGACTGTAACTAAATCCCAGATAATGTATGTTGACCCTACAAAATCTATCCATACATAACACAAAGATATTTGATTTGATTCAGTCTTCATTTGCTACAACCCTCAATTTCTGAAATAATCATTCTCAGTTTTTCCCCCGTTGCTAAGAGGAATTCAAGGGGCAGAGAAAGAGAGAATCTAGCCAAGCTGAGTAATTCTTCAGTAGCTCTGTAGTTACGTCACTGTCAGCAACCCAGCCAGCAAATTCAGTGCTAGCTTTTGGTTTTTTATGGTCAAGAGGTGTATTAATATCTTTGAGCAGAAAATGTACTATTACTCAGGTTTCACAGCATATGAATGCACTCATTACCATATATGTATCTCTTCTTGGTGGCCTTAGGAGCAAGTAGAATCTTTCCCTTATTAGGCCCAATTCTGTCTTACATTTAACTCTATTGGAATCAACTGACTTGATGCTGCTCCTAGAATTACCATTGCAGTTGTTTTTAACCTGGCATCTTCAAATTAATTCTACAGGAGGGAACAGGTAAGCATCTATGATATTAAACATTAAGCTGGGGGTCCACTGATGTTTCCCACAGGGAAGTTTTCTGATACTCTCTTCCTACCTCTGTATTAAGTAGAAACCTATAATTTAAAAATATAGTAAGCAATTGAAACTAATTTGAGTGTTTCTGCAGCCCAAAGGATATACCTGTGTTACTAAGCTAAATGGTTTCAAGTGAGTACTGCAATCTATCATTCATACCGCTAAATCATCAGAATAGTTTCTGGCATGTTTGTGGACTTGGTGTTTTCTCGGAAGCATCCAAATGCATGTCTTAGGTGGTAGCAAAGGGAACAATTTGCAGGAGATAATCTTGCTTTTGAACCTAAGAAAGTTTACTTACATATGTGAGCTGCTCTCCGATTTTTAGCCTCAGTGCCACAAAATGGCCCTCGTGAGCGTGTTTCACTTCTTGATATGGATAAAGTGACAATGATTTGTATGGAAGACTACTAATAATTTTCCATCAAGCTATCATGAAGAATGCATCACCCACATTATATCAATTTTTGAGAACATCTAAAAACACTTTTTCCCTCACATGGCTGCCAGGCATACACCTAAGAGGACATCAGTAACATATCTAGAAGTGATACTGAAGTATCACTAACGAAGACAGATAAATACAATCAAAAGGAATTCTTAGCAATTCTGAATAAGTGAACAATCATAGTTAGATACTGATGATGTGACATCATGATTGAAAAATTTATCTTTGTGGTAAATAGCAGATTTGCATACTGTTTAGAAGAAAGACAACAAACAACAGAAGCCTGACATTTACAACACAAAGGAGAAGTGAATGGTTTCTAAGCTTCAGATCATACCTCTTGCATGCTTTCTCAGATTGCTGAAAAGCTTTTTCTATTGTTCAAGGCATTTTTTGTATTAATCATCACCAGCTTTGACTGGTCTTTCTGGAAGTAGAGTATCTCAAAATACAATGGTTTGGAGATATTTGACCTTCATAGAAACAAGTACAGAGATATCATTTAGTCTTAAATTCACTTCCCAGAATAAATCACTTCCACGGTGGAAACAATAGGTTTTTTTTTCCCCCCCTTTTTTTTTTCCCCCCCCTCACACATTATAAAAAAAATCTATTTTATAGATGGTAGAACCTGTTTCTGTTAGTCATTTAAGAGGGGAAAAAAAAATAACATCAATTATCTCTTCGATCATTATTGTGACTGTTGTTTATCTTGAAATTTTCAAAGGTTACCTTCTCGCCAACTGCAACTTACACTGTTTTCCATGCCATTAGCCAAAGAAGATGTCGTGTCTCTCAAAGAAGCAGAAAAACAAACCAACCTTGCACCTATTTAGTGTTTTAATATGGTATACAACGTTAAGGAAAATTATAAAACATTTTCAGGTAAGCAAGAGCCAGATCCAACTCTTATTAACATAGATCAGAAAACTCCCATTGGTAGCAATTGATTTTGGATTAGACCCAGAACAAGTTCAGAATGCAATAAAGTATCAAGAGCCAACCTGTACTCACTGCTATTTCCTAACTACTTCAAGATGGAAAACAAATAGATGAATCCTTGAAAAAAATGTCTACCACGGAACATATGATTAAATTATGGGTTTGCATAAAAAAAAGAGTTCAATGCCATCCAGGCATAGACCTTTCTGTAGAAAATAATTAGTTTGTTGATTGCAGTCATGTCTTTGGTATCAATAAAATTAATGCTTAAAAACTGAAAGTAGAACTGGTATTTGGGGAATGATTTTAAACTAAGACAGGGAGGTTTAGGTTAGATATTAGGAGGAACTTTTTCCACACAGAGGGTGGTGACGCACTGGAACAACTTGCCCAAGGAGGTTGAATCCCTGAAGGCATTCAAAGCCAGGTTGGATGTTGATCTGGGCAGCCTGGTCTGTACACAGCAGAGGGGTTGAAGCTAGATGAACATCATGGTCCTTTTCAATCCAGGCCATTCTATGATTCTATGACTCTATATTTTCAATACCAAACAATTCAAGGAACGCATATTTGCTCTAGAAATTACTTGGGCTTTCAATATTGATTACTTTCACAACAGTATTCTTAAATGTTACAGTAATAGAAACACAGCTGTTAAAGTTACACAAAACTCAATTTCTTTTGCATAGAAAATCTGACATCTGAATATGAATCATTTCTCTCAAAACAGAGAGAAATTAACATTTCCATGTGGTGAAATATTTTTAAAAACAATATTTAACAAACAATAATATCCTGGAGTCCCTAAAATTGAAAAAAAAAAAAATAAATAAATCATCTTGATTCAAACCCCGAATACTTCAGTTTGATTCTCTTTATTAGTTCTTTTTTTTGGCACTATATATTTTTTCCATAAGAAATAAAGTTTTGGAGTTTAATGCCCTTACATTTTTAAAACATAACCAAGATCAAATGCCCATGAGCACACATACAGAGAGAATTGATTTAAATAATCTTGTTTAAATGAAGTACTTATCGTGAAATATTTCATTTATTTTTTTTCTTATAAAAGTTCATGTTAAAATGGAAAGCAATCTATATGTTGAAAATCTTCATTGAAAAATTTATTCCAATAGAAAATTTGATCTGCATGAAGTAAAAATTACTTGAATTCGTAATTGTTAAGCTAAATTATGCAATATATTTTTTGTGAATTAGATTTCTAGAATGAGACACTGGAAATTCAGACCTCCTACTGGCCTCTCCGATACTTCAAGTGAGCTATTTTTTCTATTTGATTCAGTATATTTGCTGCAATGAAATATTTTCTATAATTATTTAGAATTTCAGATGTAAAATAAATGTGTTACAATTGAGGTGTTATTATCTAGTTAGGTCTATGTGACACATACATTTTGGTTTCTATGATGGAATTTATTAATTTTTAAATCTTATCGAATAATAGATTGTTGCTACTGAGAGCATTAAAAATATGCACATTTGCTTCAAGCAGTGTTGCTTAACATTTGACAAGATTCTTTCAACTAACTGAAAAGATTGCTTTAAAATAAAAAAAAAAGAGAAAGAGAGAGAGAAAGAGAGAGAGAAAGAGAGAGAGAAAGAGA